TAAATGTAAGGGAGGAAAGAAAAAATGAAATGCATGACTATAGGATGGGTGACAACTGGTTTGAAAGCAGTGAATAGGATCTAGAGGTCTTAGTAGAGTGCAAGGTTAACATGAATCAACAGTGTGATAAAGGTAAAGATAAAGATTTCCCCTTGGACATGACTGTCAAGCTGCACCTGACAGTAAGGGCGGTTCGACAGTGGAACACACTCCCTCGGAGAGTAGTGGAGTCTCCTTCCTTGGAGGTCTTTAAGCAGAGGCTGGATGGCCATCTGTCAGGGATGCTTTGATTGGGAGTTCCTGCATGGCAGGGGGTTGGACTGGATGGCCCTTGTGGTCTCTTCCAACTCTATGATTCTATGATTCTATGACTATAGGGGGCAGTGTTCATCTCCGGGCCTTTGCATACTGCCAGAAATAGTGCAACTTGAGTCCACTTTAACTGCCTTGGCTGAGTGCTAGGGAATCATGGGAACTGTAGTTTATTGTGGCACCAGAGCTCTCTGACAGAGAAGGCTCAATATCTCAGAAAAAACTACAGTTCCCATGATTTCCTAGCACTGAGCCAGGGCTGTTAAAGTGGACTCAATTTGCACTATTTCTGGCAGTCTGCAAAGGCCCTCGATTACTAAGGTGAGGGAGCCAGCTTTTTCAAAGATGACTCCATGATCATATGGCCAACATGACTGCACTGAACGCTGTTACCTTCCCACTGAAGTGGTACCTATTTATCTACTTGCACTTTTACATGCTTTCAAACTGCTAGGTTGGCAGAAGCTGGGACTAGCGTTGCAGCCAAGAAAGCCAATGCAATTCTAAGCTGCAACAGGAGTATTGTGTGTAGATCAAGGGAAGTAGCTGTGCCATTCTATTCTGCTTTGGTCAGATGTCAAATATTGTGTCCAATTCTGGGCACCTCAGCTCAAGAAGGATATCAGCAAGGTGGACTGTGACCAGAGAAGGACAACCAAGATAACCAAAGGTCTAGAAAACCAATCCTTATGAGGAACAGCTTAAGGAACTGGGTATGTTTCACTTGGAGAAGAGAAGCCTGAGAAGTAATGTGATGACCATCTTTAAACATCTGATGGGATTTCATGTAGCACATGGAGCAAGGTTGTTTTCTGCTGCTCTAGAGATTATAACATGAACCAGTGGATTCAAATTTCAAGGAAAGAGATCCTACCTAAACATGAGAAAGAATATTTTTACTGGAAGAGCTGTTCAACAGTAGAATGAACTGCCTCAGAGGGTGGTGGGCTCTCCATCTTTGGAGATCTTTAAACAGATGTTGGTTGGACATCTTTTAGGTGTGTTGTAATTGTGTATTCCTGCATGGCAGGGGGTTGGATTAGATGGCCTTTATGATCACTTCTGACTCTATTGTTCCTTTAAACCAAAGAGTTTTTTCTTTTTTAAATGGAGTCTTTGAGAGATTTTTACCTATCAGTTTCCAGCTCCTTTAATCTGCTGGAAGCATTTCGATCCCATCACTTGGACAAAAGTGATGCGCAACTCAGTCTTACCCATGTTTATTAGGAACGGTGCAATCATGAGAACTAATTAGCTAATGAACTTATCAATTCACTATACAGGCGTCCCTCCTTTTTTATGGGGAATCTGTTCCGGACGACCCCCCCCCCATGAAAAAGGGAAAATGCAAATATTCAAGTCCTATTGGCTTAGAATCATAGAGTTGGAAGAGACCACAAGGACCATCCAGTCCAACCCTTGTGCGCCTTCAAGTCATTTCTGACTGATGGTGATCCTATCGCAGGGTTTTCTTTGCAGGATTTGTCCAGAGGGGATTTGTCATTGCCTTCCTCTGAGGCTGAGAGAGTGTGACTACTTGAATGGAGGTGGGTGCCTACGGGGGAGAGCGGGTGTGCACTGTGGAGCGTGCCTCATTTTATGTCCTTCCATTCCTCCTTCATGGATAAGAAAGGGTTGCGGACTTCAATAGATGATACCACCTAACTTTCTAGTTTCCCTTATTAACACTGAAGGTAAAAATATGCTTCATTGAACTGGGTCATTAAAATTTGTGAGGGTAGGTATTTCCCCCTTTGTCACATACAGCAAATCAGGAAGGCTTGCTGCTTCTGGAGGAACCAAGGGTTTACATTTCCTAATGGCACCAGATCCTATGTAATCTTGGAAACTAAGCAGGGTCAGCTCTGGTTAGTAATTGGATAGGCAACCGCCAGGGAATACCAGGTGCTGTAGGCTATATTTCAGAGAACAAATCTACCTCTGAGTATTCCTTGCTTAAGAAAACCCTATGAAATCCATAAGCTGATGGAGTGGCTTGAAATCACATACCAAGAATTGCGACCAGAGGCAGCCCATCACACACATTTGTTATTAAGCAGGTTAAAGAGAGAAGGAGAACTTTCTGGAGTCCAGGTCAGAGCAGCAGAAGAAACAGCATTCAAAGAATGGAAAAGAAGGAAAAAGGTGAGCCTCGGACTGGAATGGAGACAAGGTTAGGGAGTGATTTGCCTGAAGACCAAGCATCTCAAGTATGTAGCAGGGACTTTTCTGCAATGTCAAGCCTTTTAGGCCTGAAAGCCAGCATACTATTCATCGATTTCGCCCATGGACCTGTATGGAAGGAAAGGGTTTGGAAACTTTCGGGGAGAGGAACCCCCTTGAGTAACTTCTCTATTGATAACTGTTAACCGTGGTCCAAAACACACTGCAGAAATAATGCAGCTTGAGTCCACGTCAGG